TTTTTGGTTTTTCGAGACAGGGTTTCTCTGTGGCTTTGGAGCCTGTCCTGGAACTAGCTCTGTAGACCAGGCTGGTCTCGAACTCACAGAGATCCGCCTGCCTCTGCCTCCCGAGTGCTGGGATTAAAGGCGTGCGCCACCATCGCCCGGCTTGGTCTCAAAATTTAAGAAGGAAAGAAATGAAATCACAAGGAACCATAGGCAGAGACCTGAATTTTAATTGGGAATTAGGAGGGTCTCGCCTCAGACTTTCTGTGTAGCCCCCGGCTGGCTTCCAACTCAGCAGTCTGCATGCCAAGTGCTGGCATTACAGGTGTGAGCCATTACACTCAGCTACTTTTTGCATTTGAAAATTTTTTTAGTAGGAATGTGGCTGTATTTAATTCAGTAATAGAACTCTTAGCATGATCAAGGTCCTGGGTTCCATGCCCAATACTGCATAAATAATAAATAAAAAATGTAATTATTTTATTAGCTCCAATGTAATATTGGTCCCAATAGCTTTGTGATAATAACGATAGCATTTTCTTTTTTAAAGTTTTTTTTTTTTTAAAGTATTTTCTTTGAATGGGTGGTGTTCCTGAATGTCTGTGTATCATGTGTATACCTGGTACCCACAGAGGCCAGAAGAGGGCATGAGAGTCCCTGGAACTGAAGCTAAAGGTGGTTGTCAGCTGCCATGTGGGTGATGGGAAGAACCTGGGTCCTCTGCAAGAGCAACCTGTGATTTTAACCTCAGAGCCATCTCTCCAGCTCCCATTTTCTTTTTGTGGGAATAATGGTCTTAAACTAGTGGTACTGTTTTTGTGTTAATGGATACCCCCAGTCCCTTAGGTACTACATATAATTACTGAGTTTACTGTTTGGTTTGAGACTATGGTCTTGATATGATCTTTGGGATCAAGTGATTTCCATGCTCCACTTCCTAAGATGCTGGGACTACGGGTGTGTAACTAGACACCTAGTCGTGTGCGTGTGCGCGTGTGCGTGCTTGTGTGCCTGCCTGTCTCTTTTCACTTAATTTATTCTTTTATTTTGTAGTGCTGAGAAATGAACCCAGGACCCACTACATGCTAAACACAGTCTACTTTTGTAGACTTTAAGAGCCGTATTCCTGGCCGGGTGGTGGGTGGTGCCTTTAATCCCAGCTCTCAGGAGGCAGAGGCAGAGGCAGGCGGATCTCTGTGAGGTTGAGGCCAGTCTGGTCTACAAGAATTAGTTCAGGACAAGGTCCAAAGCTACAGAAAAACCCTGTCTCGAAAAAAAAAACCATATTCCTGTTAACAATCTCTGCAAGGCAATCAGCTCTTACTGTCAAGTACTTTAGAAAAATTCTTTCTGGCTGGGTGGTAGTGCACACCTTTAATCCAAGCACTCAGGAGGCAGAGACAGGTGGATCTCTGTGAGTTCAAGACCTGCCTGGTCTACAGAGTGAATTCCAGGACAGCCAAGGCTGTTACACAGAAAAACCCTGACTAGAAAAAAAACACACAAAAAGGGAGAGAGAAAGAAAGAAAGAAAGAAAGAAAGAAAGAAAGAAAGAAAGAAAGAAAAGAAAGGGAAAGAAACATCCTTTCTGTGCACATTACTCAATTTCAAAGCCATCCCACAATGTTGTTTCCTCCCTGTTCTCCTATAGCAAGGCTGTTCCTTTCCTGTGATTGTCTTCAAGTACAGACCAAGCATAAAAAAATAAAAAATCCTAAATCTAAAATGCTCATAAGTAAATCTTAAATAATTTTTCCATTTCATGTGTGTACTTGTGAGTGCATGCGTGCATGTATGGATACTTCTGTTGCTCTTCTACCTTCTTAATTGAGGCAGGGTCTCTCAACAGACTCCAGAGTTCTCCAGTATGAGTATGTAGCCTTGAGAGCCAGTTGCTTTGGGTATCCTCTGTCTCTGCCTTTCGAGGCTGGAAGTGTGCATCTACCCCGTGTTTTGGGGGTTCTGGGGATCCAAATTCAGGTCCTGACCCTTGCTGAATCACCATTTTAATCAGTGAGCCATCTCCCCAGCCCTAAATCTAAGGTGGATTTTCTATTTTGTTTTTAATTTTTTTTATCTTAATGTACATTGATGTTTTGCCGGCATGTATGTCTGTGTGAGGGTGTCAGATCACCTGGAATTGTGTGGGGTCATGTAGGTGCTGGGGATTGAACCCAGATCTTCTGGAAGAGTTAATTCTCCTGCCTCCCCCTCCTGAGTGCTGGATTTACAGATAATGAGCCACCAGTACTCGGCTCAGATTAGTGTTTTCCTTCCTTCCTTCCTTCCTTCCTTCCTTCCTTCCTTCCTTCCTTCCTTCCTTCCTTTTCCCCCCTCCCTCCCCACCTCCCTCCCTCCCCTCCCTTCCTCCTTTCTTTCTTTCATGACTATTGTTTGTTTCACAGACCTTAGCAATTTTGTAAATAACAGTTTTTTCTTTAATGTTTTAGTGCTAGATGGAGCCTGGGAGCCCAGGGCCTTACCTTTGCTAAATTGCACACTATACCACTAAGTTGTAACCCCAACTGCTACTTTTTTTCCCTAATTATGTGTCTGTGTGCATGTGTGTGGTTATGTATGCACAAGTGCAGATACCTGCAGAGGCCAGAGGAGTTGCAGGTGGTTGTGAGCCACTTGATGTGGGTGCTGGGAACCAATCTGAGGTCCTCGGAAGAACAGTTTACATACAGTACATCCTCCTGACCACTGCACCATCTCCCCAGTTCCCCATTGTTTTTGTTCATTTGTTTTTGGCTTTTTGTGTGGGGAGGTGGAGAATGGATGGGTGTGGATTTTTGAGCAGGGTTTCTCTGTTCACAGCCCAACCTTGTTTTGTTCTTGAACTGAAAGAGACAGCAACTCAGAAGATACTTTGCAAGTTCTTGCTTTGCCAGCTATGCTGAAAACAAATAGGAAATAAATCCTATTTAATCCTTCTAATACAGCATTTTTAAATGTTATGTAAAATGTGATTTTTCCCCCCCCCAGAAACAGGGTTTTTCTGAGTAGTCCTGGCTGTCCTGGAACTCACTCTGTAGGCCAGGCTAGCCTCCAACTCAGAGATCCACCTGCCTCTACCTCTGAGTGTTGGGATTAAAGGCGTGCACCACTGCTGCCTAGCTTTGATTTTGATTTTTTTCTTAACCATAAAATCTTATATTTTTTATTTGCTTATTTGTGTGTGTGTATGTGTGTGATATATGTATAACTTCTGTGTGTGTGTGGTCAGAGGAAAACCTCATGTGTTGGTCCTTGCTTCCATCTTGTTTTTTTTTTTTCTTTCTTTTTTTTTTTTCTTCTTGCTTCCACCTTATTTGAGGCGGGAATTCTGCATATGACAGGCTAGCTCCAGAATCCCTTGAGCGCCTGGAATTATCCTGTCTCTCTGCTGTCATCTTGCTGCAGGCATACAGGAGTTACAGATGTGCACTCTCATATCTGGTTTTTATGTGGATTCCAGGGATTTGAACCCACAACTCAGAACTTCGGAGCATGTGCTTTATCCCCTGAGCCATCTTCTTGGCCCTGAATTCTTCTTTTTCTTAATAGGTTTTACAGCTCTTTAGAACACTACACAGGACCAGACAACAAGTTTTTAAAAACGATAAGAGAGCATTAGAAGGTAAATATATTTTTCACTCCTTTAGGACAAATCCATGCTTTTGTTATTTGTCTTATTTGTTTTGCATTGCTAGGAATTGAACTTAGAGCCTCACACATGTGAAACAAATCACTCCATCATTGAGCTAGGGTGCCACCGTGAGCTGGGAATCTTAGATATCCCAGGCTGGCTTTGAAGGTTCTCTTGTAGAGGGTGACCTTGAGCTCCTGGTCCTCCTGCCTGAAGTGTGTGCCACCACCCCTGGTGCACATCCATTCTTTAGCTGGCTGCTCTTCTCTTCTGACAATGTGGAATGACCTTTATGGCTCTCTGATGTTCTGTGACGGCTGGCTCACATTATATCTATGGAAGAATACTTAATAAAAATTCAATTTCCATATAGAATCATTTATAGAAGGGGCAGGTAAGAATCAAGGTTCTTTTTTGTTTTTCGAGACAGGGTTTCTCTGTAGCTTTGGAGCCTGTCCTGGAACTCGCTCTGTAGACCAGGCTGGCCTCAAACTCACAGAGATCCGCCTGCCTCTGCCTGTGCCTTCTGAGTGTTGGGATTAAAGGCGAGCGCCACTACCACCTAGCTAGGATAGGACCAGACTCTTAACCCCTTTACATACTGAGGAAGATTAGCACCAACGGAGACATCCATGGCTATTTTTCTGTCAACATGGGTTATTTTATTGTTTTAGCCAACATTTGTTGAATATTTACTAAGGACTTCATATAATTTGTTTTTTTTTTTTGGGGGGGGGGTTTACGAGACAGGGTTTCTCTGTAGCTTTGGAGCCTGTCCTGGAACTCCCTTTGTAGACCAGGCTGGCCTCAAAGTCACAGAGATCCGCCTGCCTCTGCCTCCCAGGACTTCATATAATTAAGTTGCTGCAATGTAGGTGGTATGTGTGAGCCTAAAAGGTTTTTTTTTTTTTTTTGGTTATTTGAGACACACAGGCCACTTTACAGTCTTACCCATCCTAGAACTTGTCATGTAGACTGTGCTGACCTCAGACTCACAGAGCACCCCCTGCCTTTGCCCTGCCCCCCGTGCCCCCCCCCATCCACCTAGTTAAAGGCATGTGTCACCACACCTACCTACCACACCTGGCAACTCTGCTTTCATCATTCACTTTTTCTTTAGCCAAGGTGCTTGGGATCAGATCTTCCATACTGATGCATCTGTGTGTGCGGGTATATACAGTTTGCACTGGTTCTTCCAGTCTTCATAAAGCGTTTTAGTTGGGTGTGATAGCACACGCATGTAACTCTAGCACTCTGGAGGCTGAGGCAGAGGGCTCACATTTTCAAAACAGCCTCGGCTTTACAGTGAGACCCTTGCTCTAAACAAAACAAATGTTTAGATTTACACAAAAGACATACTTGGGTTCAGACTTCTTAGAATCTAGTAGTTCTGAAGGTACACAAATAAAGTTGAAAAGAAGCCAGGCTTGGTGGCCTTAAAGTCTGGAGAATCTCTGAGTTCCAGGCCAGCCTGGTCTATATAATGAGTTCCAGGATGGCCAGAGCTATGTCAATAAATAAATAAAAGGAAGAAGGAAAAAGAAAAAAGCCTTACCATCTATAGCCCAAGGTGGCCTCAAACTCAAAATTCTCTTGCCTCATCCTCTTAAGTGCTGCTGTCATGGTGTTGTAATATCATGCTTGGCACGGAACACATTGCTCATGCTTTGCTTTATATGAGAAGTAGAAATTCATAATGAGTTATGCTGAATGACATGTAAGAATCTTGGGTATTAAGTTACATGTATTTCTCTCTCTCTCTCTAGCAGCCAGAGTAAAGATAAATGAAGAATTCAAAAAACATAAAAGTGAGGCCTCTCCGGAGAAAATAAAAGAGGTGCAGTAACAAGTTTCAGTTGTTAACAGAGCTGGTGTGAATGTCCTTGGTAAAGAGAGGAAGCGGGAGTGGAGGGTCATGTGAAGGAAAGCCATCCCTGGTAGTGAGAGCCCCCACAGCCACGGACGCCTGCACTTGTTTGCTGTGGCTCCCCTCGGGCTCGTCTTCTACCCCCAAAGATAACAAGGCCCCTGGGAAGAGAACGCAGAAGCAGCTCTGGTCAAGGCCAGGGCAGCGGAGCCATGGCAGAAGCCACTATAGCTGTCACAGGGAATTTTAGGTCGGGAAGCTGCGAGTGCGGAGTGGAGCTGGCCATGGTGGGGTTTGCCTGTCTTTGTAGTACTCTAGAGGCCGAAGTGGAAGAATCACGAATCCAATGCCAGCCTAGGCTACAGTTGTGGGGATTCTTATGGCATGGAGAATTGATTGGTAAAAGAGAAAATACAAATAAGAGAATATCTCCAATAATTAATAACATTTGTACAAGTGAGTAACAAATTAGATAAAATTGCTTCTTCATTTGTTTTATTTTTATTTTGAGACGGGGGTCTCACTATGTAGTTCTGCCGTCCTAGAGCTCACTGTATAGACCAGGCTGACCTCTGCCTCCAAAGTGCTAAGATCAAAGGCATGCTCTGCGATGCCCAGTCCCCAGCACATTTTAAAATGCATATTATAACAAAGTTCTAAGTCCATTTGAACGAAATTTGGGCTAGATAGATAAAAATGAAGGGCATCTGAAATGTTTGCATCTCCTATACTACCCGATGCAGTTGCACAAAGCTAGAAGCCACATTATCAGAAAGTGACCTGTAAAACCATTGTCTTCAAAACCAGTGCAGCCCTAAGAAGCACTCAGGGGTGACTCTGTCTGATTTTCTTAACAGATGTTGAAAATGGGTTCTGATGTTGAACTATTACTCAGAACATCTGTTATTCAAGGTATTCACACTGACCACAACACCCTGAGTAAGTAAAGTGGATTGGAGGGATATGATTGCTGACTGATGTTTCAAAATAGTAACATTACTGCTCCTTTGTTTGTCTTTATTTTGTTTATTATTATTGTTTTGTTTTGTTTTTTCTTACTTTGAGACAGGGTTTCACTCTGTAGCCCTGGCTGTCTTGAACTTGCTGTGTAAATTAGGCTGGCTTCCCCTGGGATTAAAGGCATGATCACAGCCACCAGGCTGACTTTACTCTTTAACACCAACACCAGAAATGAACTCAAGTCCTCAGCTGAGCCATCTCCCTTACCCCTTTTTTCTTTTTACTTTCAAGTTTGTTTGTAGATTCTTTTATTTCACTTTATGTGTGTGCATGTTCTGTGTGCATGTATATATGTTTGCCTGATACCAGTGGAAGTCACAAGAGGATGTTGGGAGTCCCTGGAGTTAAATTATAAATGGTTGTTAGCCATCAGATGACTGATGAGAACTGAAACCAGGTCCTCTACAAGAGCAGCTGTGCTCTAAACTGCTGAGCCATCTCTCTAGAGCCCCTCCGCCAGATCTAATTCCTGGATATATTGCAAAACTGTAGTTGTATTCACATCCTTTTTGTGTTGTTTGTTTTGTTTTGTTTTGTTTTATTTTATTTATTGTTCTTGTTTTTTTGAAACAGGGTCTCACTATGTAGCCTTGGCTATCCTAGAACTCATTATGTAGACCAGGCTCGCCTTGAACTCACAGAGATCTGCCTGCTTCTGCCTCCTGAGCGCTGAGATTAAAGGGGTGCACCTATACCAGCTACAACCATTTTTATGTAACCATATTTATTTTTTTTTCTGGCATCATTTATTATCGACTTAGACTGTCTATTTTTTTGCCTTTATTCTATAATTAGTTATTTTAGTTTAGAAGAATCGGGATTATAAGAAATGGAAATATATGCCAGGCTTTTTTTTTTATTTACTATGTATACAATATTCTGTCTGTGTGTATGCCTGCAGGCCAGAAGAAGGCATCAGACCTCATTACAGATGGTTGTGAGCCACCATATGGTTGCTGGGAATTGAACTCAGGACCTTTGGAAGAGCAGGCAATGCTCTTACCAGCTGAGCCAACTTTCTAGCCCGTTGTTACTGTTTTTAACATTTGTGTGTGTGTGTGCTTGCACACTCAAATGCACACACATATATACTAGTGGAAGTCAGAAGCTAGCTCTCATCAAGTGGGTTCGAGGCATTGAGTGTGGGGTGCTAGGCTTGATGACAGGCACCTTTACCCACTGAGCTATCTTACAGGCCCCTTAGTTTATATGTGTCTGCTAACTAAGGAAGTACGAACACTTTTCAGTGGGTTAGCGGAGATCTGAATATTCTCTTTACAAAGTGCTCACTTTCCTACAGGATTGTTTGCCTTTTTTCTTGACTTGAAGGAACTCTTGTATGTTCTAAATATAAATCTTTTATTGGATATTTCTATTCTAAGAATCTTCTACTTGTGGTCTTTCCCTTTGAGGAGTTTCTTATTTAATATAGTCTAGCTGATCCATTTTCCTTTTTGTAGTTGGAATTTTTTTGGGCTGCCAACCAGTTCCCAAATAAAGGCACAGAGACTTATTATTAATTATGAATGCTCGACCTTAGCTTAGTGTTGCCCACTAGCTCTTTTAACTTAATTTAACCTGTTTCCATTCATGTGCATAACTTTTTACCTTTTTTTTTTAAATATTTATTTATTATGTATACAATATTCTGTCTGCGTGCATGCCTGCAGGCCAGAAGAGGGCACCAGACCCCATTACAGATGGCTGTGAGCCACCATGTGGTTGCTGGGAATTGAACTCAGGACCTTTGGAAGAGCAGGCAATGCTCTTAACCTCTGAGCCATCTCTCCAGCCCCAACTTTTTACCTTTTTGACTTGGGCTTTTTCTCTTTCTTTCATTCTGTATGACCTACTTTCCTGCTTCTTCCGTGTCTGTCTGACCGCTGATGTCTCCCTGTTGTCTCCTTTTCTTTTTTCCTCCTCCTACTTACTCTCCCTGCCTGGAAATTCTACCTATACCTCCTCCCTTGCTACTGACCAATCAGGTGCCTTAGGTAGGCAAGCTAAAACAGCAACATATCTTGACATAGTTAAACAAATATTCTACAACATTAACAAATGCAATACATCTTTACAAAATTAAACAAGTATTCTGCAACACTTTATGGTAGATATTTTTAGATTTTGGATCCTGTTGTAGAAGATTTTGTATCAAACAAGGTCATGAAGGGATTCTCCAATGCTTTGTTCCAAAAGTAGTGTCTTAGTTAGGGTTTCTATTGCTGTGAAGAGATACCATAACCAAGCAAGTCATTTTATTTTATTATTTTTTATTTTATTTTATTTTGAGACAGGGTTTCTCAGTGGCTATGGAGAAATTTGCTGTGTAGACCAGTCTGGCCTCGAGCTCGAAGAAATCCACCTGCCTTGCCTCCCGAGTGCTGGGATGAAAGGTGTGCACCACTGCCCAGTTGATCATGGCAACTCTTTTTTTAAAAAAAATATTTATTTATTATGTGTACAGCATTCCTTACATGTGTGCCCACAAGCCAGAAGGGGGCGCCAGGTCTCATTATAGATGGCTGTGAGCTACCATGTGGTTGCTGGGAATTGAATTCAGGACCTCTGAAAGAGCAGTCAGTGCTCTTAACCTCTGAGCCATCTCTCCAGTCCCAGATCATGGCAACTTTTTTTTTTTTTTTTTTGAGACAGGGTTTCTCTGAAGTTTTTAGTGCCTATCCTGGAACTAGCTCTTGTAGACCAGGCTGGCCTCGAACTCACAGAGATCCGCTTGTCTCTGCCTCCCGAGTGCTGGGATTAAAGGCGTGCGCCACCACTGCCTGGCGTGGCAACTCTTATAAATGAAAACATTTAATTGGGATGACTTGCTTACAGTTCAGAGGTTTAGTCCATTATTGCTGTGGGACATGGCAGCATGCAGGCAGACATGGTGCTGGAGAAGCAAGCAATAGGAAGTGGTCTAAGTATTACACCGAGTGAAGCTTGAGTATATATGAGACTTCAGAGCCCACCTCCACAGTGACACATAACAGGGGCATATCTACCCCAGTAAAGCCACACTTCCTAATAGTGCCACTCCCTTTGGGTGCCATTTTCTTTCAAACCACTACAGTAGTTTTTGGTTATCTACTAAAGCTTTGTTTTTGTTTTTTGTTTGTTTGTTGTTTTGTAGCCCTGGCTATTCTGGAACTCTCTGTAGACCAAGCTGACATTGAATGGCTTTGTGTTTTTTTGTTTTGTTTTGTTTCTTATTTTTTTCAAGACAGGGTTTCTCTGTAGCTTTGTTGCCTGTCCTGGAACTAGCTCTTGTAGACCAGGCTGGAACTCACAGAGATCCGCCTGCCTCTGCCTCCTGAGTGCTGGGATTAAAGGCATGCGCCACCACCGCCCTGCTGGCTTTGTGTGTTTTAAGAGCATGTGGTCCTCTCACAGATAAGCTTCCACAGCAAACTAGGTCACTGAACCATATAAAGGAATAAAGGATCTTTACTCTACTCTGAACAAACACGAGTTAAAACGTTCTGACTCCTTCACCTTTGCAGTTACGGGTGCGGGACTACTGTTGCACAGGCTATTCTTGAATTTCTCCTGGTATAGAATTAGTATATTTCCTCCCCCCCCCCACACACACACAGGAGGGCAGCAGCCCACGTTCCTTTTTTTTTTGGTTATTTTGTTTTTATTTATTTGTTTTTGAGACTAGGTTTCTCTGTGTAGCCCTAGCTGTTCTGGAACTTGCTTTGTAGACTAGGCTGGCCTTGAATTCAAAGAATCTCTCTACCTCTGTATCCTGAGTGTTGGGATTAAAGGTGCCAGGCCTAGCATCTCTCTCTCTCTCTCTCTCTCTCTCTCTCTCTCTCTCTCTCTCTCTCTTTTTAGGTCACTTCCTGAAAAATTGTCAGTTTCCAGGGCAACTTCTTCTAGCATGTCTGCATGCCTAACCACATCTTCATTGTTTAAGATGAGATTCAAGATTGTGTCTTTGTTTTGGAGCAGGCTGCTTGAAGTGCAACCTCACAGGCATTCTTCCCACCGGCCTAGTCAGGGGCCGTTACTATGATTTAGCAGCTGTGATCGGTATCTAAATTCAATCCCAGAGACTCATGAACAGAGCTGTCCTCATGGCTGTAGCTTCGTGGTCAGAACTTGAACAACTTTGTAGAAAGGAACCTTTATAAGATGATGGGAGTTCTGGCTTTGTGGCAAGGTAGAAACAGTAGCAGCCAGTTTTGGAGATTCTTTATACCTCTCATCAGTGTTGAAGACGGAAGGTTGATATCACAGTCAGAAGCTTCTTTCACGTAGCCATGGTGATAAACCTTTAACCATAGCCTGGAGGCTTGGAGACAGGAATGTATTTTGGAGGCTGCAGAGGTCTGGACTTTTCAAACCAGTGCTTTCTGGTAGGGGAGATGTCTTTCAGCTCCTTAATGGTGTCATCTACGCCTGCTGCGACTCCCAAGTTATGTGCTCATTCAGAGGGTCACTGGGTGAGGAGCTGTAGTGAGGTTTCCACCAGAGAAGACCGCTCGGACACAGAGTCAAGGCAATAAAAAGTCTTTATTAGCTGGCTGGTGACAACAGTAGGTGTTCAGGTCCCAAGTGCAGTCCCTAGCCTTTTCCAGGGTGGGGTTTTAAGCACAAAAATCACATTCTGGGTTGACACACGGCATTTAGGGACTGTTCCAAAACTATGGACTTTGATGGATTAGGTCTTTGTTCTCATTTTGGTCGATGTTGCTGTCTGTGTGCTGGGTCCCAGGGCCTGAGTGGCACTTCCGTTATCATGTCAGTATGCTGAGATGTGGGCCAGTTCATGCTCCGGGAGTTTCAGTGTTTGCTTTGTTAGTTCCTTTGTCTGGGTTTGAGCTACTTCCTGGTTGGAGCAGTTGCCTCTACGGCCCTTTGGTGGTAAAGTACATGAACGCTAAGTGTCGTCACACGGAAAGTGAGCTGTTGGCTGTCTTTCAGCTCATTGGGTGAGAGGAGGCTTCAGTATGGACCATCTTGATCTTTTGAGACAGGGTTCCTCTGTAGCTTTGGAGTCTGTCCTGGAACTCGCTCTTGTAGACCAGGCTGGCCTCAAACTCATATAGATCTGCCTGCCTCTGTCTCCTGCATGCTGGGATTAAAGGTGTGTTCCACTATGCCCAGCTCAGATGTCTTTTTTTTTTAATTTCTGCCTTTTTGTATATGTGTCTGTGTCAATGTGTGCATATTTGTGTGTGTGCACATGTGTATATGGAGGCCAGAAGTTGGTGTCAGGTGTCCTGGATTGCTGTTCACCTAATTGTTAAAGACAAGGTCTCTCACTGAACCTAAAACTTGCTGCTTTGGCTATATTGGCTCGCTTATCATACCCAGAGATCTTCCTGTGTCCACCTCTCTAGCTCTGAGATCATGGGTGTATATTTCTGCTCGGGTGCTCGGGATCCAAACTCGGGTCCGGTGCTTGCACAGAACACGTTTTATCAACTCACCCATCTCCCCAGCCCTAAACTTCTGCCCTTTGATCCTGTACGTGTGTCAAACACTGATTGTTTTTCTAAGACAATTTAATGTGACTCAGCCCTTATTGTGATAGGCATTGGGATTTTTGTGGAACAATGGGTAGGACAAATCTGGTTCTTGTCCTTAGGAAACTGTGCACTCTTTGTAAAAGATTGATAGTTTAGTGTTCCCCCAAAGCACTTTCTGTAGTCAGAGGAGCCCCAAGGCCAAACACTGGAAGGGCTAGGTTCTTAGAAAGAAAGTGACTGCTGGGCGGTGGTGGCACACACTTTTAATCCCAGCACTTGGGAGGCAGAGGCAGGTGAATGCCTGTGAGTTTGAGGCCAGCCTGGTTTACAAGAGTTAGTTCCAGCATGCCTAGGACTGTATACAGGGAAACCCTATCTCAAAAAAAAAAGAAGAAGAAGAAGAAGAAGAAGAACATGACCAAAGAGTAAGCTTCCATCTCAGCGTATTGCTGTTTATGTACCTGATATATTTAGTAACATTTTTATAACTTTAAACTATCTTAATATCCTATACATTATTAGTGTCCAAATGTTTCTGCCACACTATTGTGAACTAGGCTATCCATTATGCATATCTGTGTATGTATGTGTGTGTGTATATATATATATATATAAATTTAAAATAAAAAATTTTTTTGGAGACAAGATCTCACTCTGTAGCCCAGGCTGGCCTCAAACTCGCTGTGACCCTCCTACCTCAGTCTCTTTAGTGAACTCACTCTGTAGACCAGGTTGACATCAAACTCACAGAGGTCTGCCTGCCTCTGTCTGGGATTAAAGGCATGTGCCACTACCGCCTGGCTGATCTGGTGACCTTTACAGTGGTAAATCATAAGGTCAGTGACTAATGGGGCACAAACAGATCTGGACTACAGCAATAAAAGAAGCAGCCCAAATGTCAGTACATGCTGGGTAGCTTCTTTTGCTTTCAGCAAGATGCTGAGAAAGAATACTTGCAGATGAAGTTGGTCCATTCACAAACAGGGATGGATGAGTCTCACTTTGCTAAGGGGCATTCTTTGTTTAAGCTTGTGTTCTGGGGAGAGTCTTGAGGAGCTGCAAGGTCACTGGTCCCACTGTCCCATGTAAGACAGATGTAAAGAGGCTTCTGAAATGTAACCTGGGTTTGCTCTCAGGCCTCTTTCCTCCTTATTCATGGGAGCTCGTTGTGTTGCTTTTCCTTGCTATAAGAAGTGCTCACTTTAAGGCTAGTGAGTGCGGCAGATTACCAAAGAAGAATGACTGTCTTTATTGCTTAAAGTTGGGTAAGATAACTTGCCTGTGGCTTCTTGTTTGTGGAAACAACTGGAAGCAGACTTGAAGTTTATAGTTTTTGAGTGGATTGTATTGCTAAGAAACCCAGGCTTGTGGAGTTTCCTTCAGCTCTGAAAGCCATTCCTGCTCTCTTGAACTCAGATTAGCAGGAAGTGGACTGTGAAAGCTTTTTTTGAAGCTCCCAAGAGAGGCTATCTTCCCCAAGATCTCCATCTCCCCAAGACAGGAAGCGGCTCAGAGGCTACATCTGGCATCTGTGTTGTAGAGTGCATCAGAGCAGGGCTTTGAGTCTCTTGAAAATAGAATTTGGTACTGCCAGATTGTCAGGCCGAGGATTAGTTCGTTACCAAATTAAGAAGTTTGCCTTTTCCTGTCCCTAGGATTTAGATTTTCTGTGGCCCGAGCACTGCTGTGGATTCCCAGTCTCACGTATTTGTTTTTCTTTTTTTGTTTTTTGTTTGTTTTTGTCTGTTTGTTTGTTTTTCAAGACAGGGTTTCTCTGTAGCTTTGGAGCCTGTAGCTCTTGTAGACCAGGCTGGCCTCGAACTCACAAAGATCCGCCTGCCCGTGCCTGAGTGCTGGGATTAAAGGCGTGTGCCACCACTGCCTGGCCTTAAATGGTGTTTTTTTTTTTTAATTTATTTTTCATCCCTTCATTTATTTCCATTTATTTCCAACTAAAGTGGAGTAGGTGTCTACCATGTGAGCCACAGATGGACCCAGTGGGCACAGCAGGCCAGCACTGGGTCTTTGGGGACAGGTTGTAACCGGAGTGTTCCGTGAATGTGTATGTCCGTGTAGCCCATCCAGAGAGGGGCCATGAGGAAGGCTGTAGCGTTCTTTCCCAGACTGTCTGGCATCTTTTACATGCCTCTATCTACTGAGTGTTGTTTCCACTGAAGCTATTGTTTTGTTGAAAAGGAATGGGCTGGGTGGGGTTCCCCTCCTGCCCTTTGTTCTTCCTGCCTGCAGTGCAGACGAGGTAGTAGTGGAGGGAAGGCAGACTGCTGTTCAGACAGGGAGGGAAGGCAGTCCTGGGTTCTTAGCAGCACCGAGGACTTGCACTAGCTCAGGCCTGCTGTGTTCATAGTGGAAGAAAACTGAATCTTACTAAACCACTGGTAGATTTCTGCTTATTCAAAGCTGAACATAATCTAAAGTAGTGTTGATGGGTTTAGTAATTTATTCTTCAATGTAATAGTCTTGAATTCTTGCATTTTTGCTATAAAAGACATTTGTGAAGCCTTATGTTATTATGTGACTATCTTTTTCAATAGATTATGAACCACTTTGAAGTAAAAAAAAAAAAAAACAACCTTTTTTTTTCTTTTTTGGAGACAGGATCTCTTATTCTGTAGCTCTGGCTGTCCTGGATTTTGCCTGTAAACCAGGCTGGCCTCCAATTCACAGAGGTCATTCTGTAATGACAGTTCCTCATGGCACCAGACTGCCTCTTGCATTTCAGTTAGCATCCTTGGTTCCTGCCCAGTAAGTTTCTAGTAGCATCCCCTAAGTGACCTGTCTGAAGATGGCCTCAGTTAGGAGCCATTGCTGAGGATCAGGATGTAGCTCAGTGGTAGGATACAAGTTCAGCAATGCATGAGGGCCTGGGTTTGGTTCCCAGCACCAAAACAAAAAGGAACGGAGGAAAAGAGAGGGGAAATTATGAAAGGGGAGGGGAACCACTGTTCTGTAGATGAGGACTGTCTAAATTATGAGAGTGATATCTTGCTTTCTATAAAAATTTCTAAGTAGCCAAGCAAGGCCTGATAACCCCTAATCCCTTCTTTGGGAGGTGAAGGCTGGAGGATCAGTGGGAGTTCAAGACTAGCCTGAGCTATATGAGACCCTTCCTCAAAAACCATTCCTAGGTGACATTTTTAATAAGCAATTGACAGATGGTCAAGAATGTATTTTTAGCTTAATTCTGTTCCGTTGTTTAATTAGTCATGTTTAGTAAAATGATGGACTCAGTTGTATGTTTTTATGTAACATGAATAAGGATCTTATTAAATGCCTTCATTTAGAGTCAAAGATTTCACCTCAGACAACTGAAATAAAATGTCTCTAGAAGAGTTCTTTTCATGGTTCCTAAATCAGACAGTTTACAGTTGGAACTGTGGGGGAAGTGGGCGTGTGGGCACTTAGGTCTGTTTTGAGGATAGATAGTAACTGCCGTTGTAATCATCTTAACCACTCGTCTCTCTGTGTTCCTTGTAGAGCTGGTCCCCAGGAAAGATCTTCTAACAGAAAACGTTCCGTACTGTGATGCGCCAATTCAGAAGCAGTAAAGCTTCCAGGACAAAACCTGTCTCTGCTCCCTCTGACTTTAAATATATACCTAGCCAAAGTCCTGGACATGCGATGTTTCTCTCTGAAGTAGCATGTTGCGAATGAGCAACAAGCTGAGGGCTGCAGAGCACTGCAGTGTTCTGAGGACATAGATGTGCCTCCCTCCTCACCATCAGGCAGCCTGACCTGGCGACCGGATGTCTGGGGAGGTGGGACTCTTTCCTTCCCCTTTGGTAGGTGTTTTGGTCTTACCAAAGCTATTTGCCAGTGAAGCACTTTACCAAGTTGGTGACTTTTCATCCCATGGGAAACAGGACTGCAAAATATAGAACACTACATTAAATTGATGTTTAATTTCTAAAATATTAAGTTGATAAAAAAAAGAACACTTTCTACCAGCTTTCTACTGAAAGTAACCATTGTTTTCCAAAGTCTTGCGGTTTTTTCTGCAGATAAAATAATGTGGCTTGCTTCTCTGTGTTCTTATAAAGACAGTTTTTTCCTTGCCTGTGTAAATGTCTAAACACCTTGAGTGTGCAGTATCTGCAGAGGTCAGGAGAGGGTATTGGATCCCCTGGGACTGGAGTTGTAGATAGTCATGAGCTTTTATGTGGGTCCTGGGAATTGAACTTGAGTCCTCTAGAAGAGCAGCAAGTGCTCTTAACCACTAAGCCATCTTTCCAACCCCTATAAAGACATTTTAAATAGTCTTCTGAAGATAGATGGATGAAATATCAAAATCACTTTGGGTCACTATAGAATAAAGACATCCAACATTTTGAGGAAGTGGTGGCGCTCTCTCAGACTACTTGGTCCTTGTAGAGTTAACTGTATTTGGATCACAGTTGGACGTTATTGTGAAATGCTATAGATGGCTATATTCTCTCTCTCTCTCTTTCTCTCTCTTTAGCCTTGAACTCAATGACCCACCTGCCTCTACCTCCCCAGTGCTTTACATAATTTGATTCTGAGTGTTGCCAAATAAATAATAGTAATAATAATTGGACTTTATCATAAAGTTAAAAACATTTTTACTGGGTTCACGGCCAACTTGGTCTACAAAGTGAGTTCCAAGACAGCTAAGATCGTTCCCCAGAGAAACCCTGTCTTGGAAAAAAAAAATTTTTTTCCCCACTGGGCAATGGTGGCACACGCCTTTAATCCGCAGAGGTAGGTGAATCTTTGTGAGTTTGAGGCCAGCCTGGTCTACAAAGCAAGTTCCAGGACAGTCAGGGCAGTTACACAGAGAAACCCTGTCTCAAAAAACAAACAAACAAAAAAAACAAAAAAAGAAAATTGAGTGAAAAATTGTAGTTAAGATAATATGTGTCATATATCTGATAATTCTCATTATATAAGGAACAAATGTTAGCAGAGTGGTGGTGGCACACATCTTTAATCCCAGCCCTCAGGAGGCGAAAAGAGAATTTCTCTGAGTTTGAGGCCAGCTTCATCTAAAGAGCTAGTTCCAGGACAGCTAAAGCTACACAAATAAACCCTGTCTCTAAATAATCAATGAGTGAAAGAATATATGTTGTCAGGTATGTAAAAAAGTTCATCAGACTGTAAGAACTGAGTGTAAGAAAGCAAGCAGGGGCTGAGATGGCTCTTGCTGCTCTTCCCCAGAACCTGAGTTCAGATCCCAGCACCCATGTCAGGTAGCACAGTGGTCACTCCACCTCCAGGGGATCTAGTGCCCTCTACTGGCCTCCAAGGTACTGCATTCACATGCACAAACTCAAACCAACAAACAATACACGCACACAATAAAAATAAAGGAATCTTGAAGCAAGCAACTCAATTAAAAAATTATTTTGTGTATATGGGTTTTTTACTTACTTGTATCTCTGTTTACCACTTGCATGTCTGGCGCCCACAGAGACCAGAAAAGATTGTCAGATCCTTTAGAACTGGAGTTACAGATGGTTGTGAGTTGTCATGTGGGTGCTGGGAACTGAACCACAGGTCCTCTGGCACAGCAGCCCATGTTCTTAGCCAGTGAGCCATCTTTCCAGCCCCTCAACTCAATTTTAAAAGTAAACATTTAAGCAGATGCTTCATCTAAAAAGATGCATAGGAGCTGTCAAGATTGTGCAGCGGGTGGTGGTAACTTGCCTTGCAAGCCTGGTGACCTGGGTTTCCTCCTGGAACCCACATGATGGAACAAGAGATCCAAATTCTGCAAGTTGTTCCCTGATGTAAATACTCATGCTGCATAATTGCACAACGCGCACACAATCATCCTTTTTATGATAGGCAAATGACAGATACAGCATGAAAAACTGTTCAGCTGAAAGTTAAAATCTCAGTGACATACTGTTAGGTGTCTATTAGGATGACTGACAGATATCAAGTGTTGACAGGGACAGGGCTTTTTGTTGTTTTGCTTTTGTTTTCTTTTCTGAGACAAGGTCTGTCTATGTAGCCCTGGCTAGTCTGGAACACATTTGCTTTTTGCCTTATTTTATCGAATCCCTAGATTGTCCATCTCCTCTTGGCTCAGGGAAGATTGAGATATTTTTGTGATGGCTGCTTTTGCATGGCTGTGGTAGAACAGCAGAAGAGCTACTCATGGGAGGGTTTGCGTTACTTCATGACTTCATCCCATCTTAGGGGTGGAGCCTCAGCAGAACGTGGCGTCAGACAGGCAGCACTTGGCTAAGCCTGGCAGGGAGTGGGTGGGTGAGCCTAACGTTAAAATAACTCCTTACTTTGCCAATCAGATGCCACCTCCTAAAGGTTCTACACACTTCAAAAGAGCCCTGCAAGCCAGGGTTGAAACACGAACCTACAGGGGACATTTCAGAGTCAAATTGTAATGTGTGTGTGCTCTTGTCTGTGCACCTGTGATTGCATATGTGCACATGCTAGGACACATGTGGAGGTCAGAGAATAATGTCGGGAGTTGGTTCTCTGGGAATTGAACTCAGGTCGTTAGGTTTGGCAGCAAGCACCCTTTTTCTACTGAACTATCTCACTGACCCACACGTGCATATCCTGAGCTGGAATTGTGAAGGGCTGGGGCTAGAGGTCAGTGCTACGGCACTTGTCCAGTATGCCCAAGGTCTGGGATTCAACCTCCAGTACTGCAAGGAAAATAACAGATGGAATAGAGTGGGGATTGGTGATTCTCTGTGGAGGTAGGGGCTAACATGTTCGTAGAAAGATTTTGTGCCTGCCTTTGTCAGGCAACCCGAGGACTCCTGGAGAGTCCCATAGTGCTCTAGGAATTTCAGAGTTAATTCTGGGACTAGGGATATGATTCAGTTATATCTAAATGCTTGCTTAGTGTGCTTTCTGAAGCCCCGAGTTCTGTCCCCAGCACTGCATAACCCAAGTATATGGTTCTCAGCACTTGGTGGGATGGAGGCATGAAGATGAGAAGGTTAAGGTCATCCTCAGCTTCACAGCAGGTTCGAGGCTAGCCTGTGATGTGTGGGACCCTGTCTCAACAATAATGAAATACTTTATTAGAGCATGGTCTGTAAGATACAATAAATACACACTATGATGTGGCTTTACTGTCTTTTTTAGATTCATTTTTATGTGTAGGTATGTGTATGCTTGCATATGGATATCTGCGTGTGAGTGTAGGTGTCTGTGGAGGCCAGAGGTGTAAGATCTCCTGGAGCTGAGTTACATATGATCATAACCAGACTGAATTGGGTTCTGGGAGCTGAGTCAGGTTCTCTGGAAGATGCAACAGTGTTCTCAACTGCTGAGCCATCTCTCCAGCCTCCAGCTTTACAATCTTACAGAGATATAAGTGGGGGCTGGGCAGTGGTGGCGCACACCTTTAATCCCAGCGCTTTGGAGTCAGAGGCGTGAGGATCTCTGTGAGTTCAAGGCCAGCCTGGTCTACTTAATGAGTTCCACGACAGCCAGGGCTATATAGAGAAACCGGATCTCAAACAAAATAGTAAGTGGAGCTGGAGAGGCGACTCAGTGGTTAAAATCAGGTGCTACTCTTGCACGTTGCAGAACTCCAGTTCCCCAAATCCAGATCGCAATGACTGGCTCCAGGGGACATGACACCCTTTTCTCCACCCTCTGGGCACCTGTACGCACATTTGTGAGCACACACATGCACACAGCTAAAGATAAAAGTAAGCATAAATAACTCTAGAGCTAGTGCTATTTTGAGGCATATAAATTGAAATTTTAAAATAATTTGAGACAGGGTCTCATATATCTCATGTTAGCCTCAAGCTCACTATATGCCAAGGCTGCCCTAAACCTTCTGGTCCTCCTGCCTTCACCTCCCCAGCCTGGGTGTCGAGGTTAGCGGCGTGCACCCCTGTGCCTTCTCTAAGAGAAAGCCAGCTCCTGCTGGTGATGGAAGCACACTCTGGGGGATTGTAAACTTCCAGCCACACAGCCTTATGGAGGTTTCCCCTCCTTTCATCTTTTATTTTTGCAACAGAAAAGCAAAAGGCTCAGTTCCCAGGGAAGAAGGCTCTGAGACAGAGTTGCTTGTGGGAGGTTTAAATTAGAGAGCTCTTGGGAAGTGACGAAGATAAGATGTAGCAGGGCCGGGGCCTGAAATGGCCTTCAGAATCTGGTCACACTAAGGCAAGAGGATTGGACTCTGTCCTGGCACCGAGGCCTGGCCTAGCAGGAGAGAGGCAGAGGAGAGGAGGCTCTGCAGGCATCTAGGTAGTGCACAAGCGACACAAACTGCCCCGTCGTTGCCTCAGATTGCAAGAGGTGGCCGAGCGTTTCTCTTCAGGGCATGGAGTCCATTAGACGAGAAGCTGTGGACAAGCCGAGGTCCATGCAGTCATTCATTCTTCCGGTATTTTTCTATTTTGAATTACATGGAAAAATGTTCACGAAAGGGTGAACAGGACACTGGACTCTGGTCATGGTTAATGTCACTGAGAAGTGTGTGTCTGAGGAAACCCTGGATGTGCCTTCTGGTTGTGTTGCCTAGCATGCATGGGGGTATGAATCCCAAGCCAGCACTTAAGAAATCTGGACCAGATGTTGTGCTAGTAAGAATCATTTTAAATATTTAAAAGTAATTATCATTTGTGGGCAGTGATCACATCACACTGCACGTGTAAAGGCCGGAGGACAGCTCTCATCACGTGGGTCCCGAGCATCAAACTCAGGCTGTTAGACTTGGCAGCAAACACTTCTACCCACTGAGCCATAGCACTGGCCCTAGTAGGAATCACTTTAGTAGAAACTCACCGCAGCTAGCTCTGTAAAAAAGTGAGGAGAGCGGGTCTGGGATGCAGCTCACTTGACAGATGTTCACCCAGCATGCATGAAGCCCCGAGTTCTCTCCACTGCATAAGCCAGGAGACCAGAGGTTCAAGGGTTCAAAGCTAGGCTGGGATTATGTGAAACCCTGTTGCCAGAAATAAGTAGATCAAACTTTTTGACAATGAGTTAGAGAAGCTAGAGGAAACCCTATTAGAAAGTGGCACTCGGCCCCACCTCTCTACTCAGACCAGTGACACTAACTATTCTCCTGGAAACAACCCGTCAGGCAGGGCCCGCTCAGCACTCCAGAGGGGAAATGTCGAGGATTTTTGTTGTTTGTTTGGTTGGTTTTTGGTTTTTCCAGATGTGGTTTCTCTGTGTAACCCTGGCTGTCCTGGAACTTGCTCTGTAGGGATCCGCCTGCCTCTGCCTTCAGAGTGCTGGGATTAAAGGTATGCACCATCAGTGCCCAACAAGATGGTGTGAATTTAAACCAATGGGAAGACATGCTGTTCCTGTCCTCCTTGGTTTATGGCTTAGACCAGTTGTTGAAGAGCACAGATTCATAGGTGAAGAGCAGGTGACATTGCAGTTTGTCATGTTTTCAGTCCTTGGTGTATGTTTTCTTAATCTCATGTCCGTTTCCCTACTCCACCCCCAGGTATCAAGTTGACTATAAAATAATCCAAGAAAGAGATTAATTCAGATTGCGCCCCCTACTGGAGGATGAGAGCACAATGCCTACTAGAGGTGTCTGTCTAGACTATGTCCCTTAGCTGAAGAGTTGAGGCTGAAGCTGTATGTGCTTTGTGCGGTGTGGAGATGTGTGCTGACCTTGTAAAGAAGGGAGCTAAGCGTACAGTCCTGGAGTGTGAAGGATTTCACTCCCTATAGCAAAGATAAGAAGGGGCTGGGGCTCTAGCTGAGTTGATAGAATTCTTGCCTAGCATGCACAAGGTCCTGGGTTTGGTTCCCAGCACCCCATGGAATAGGTATGGTGTTGCACACCTGTAATCCCAGCACTAAGAAATGGGAGCAGGAAGACCAGGAGTTCACAGCCATTCCCACCTACACAGGGAGCTCAGGACTGGCTTGGGCTGGAGACCGTGCCGGGAGTGTAGGAGAAGGGTAGACAAGCAGGAGACTCAGCAGTTCCCATCCATCTAAGGAATAGCATTTGTTGCTCAGGTCTGAGTTCCTGGATTCCCAGCCTCAGCATAGTCCTGAAAATGCATGGCCTATGTTTGCCTTCCCACATGTAGGCTCCTGCTTTGTGCTGGCGCTTTGGAACCCCTAAT